ATACAATTTTAATTATGGTTGGAGGAGTAGAAACTGAGCTGTTTTTTTGGTTATTTCAATCCATATTTTACTTTTCTATGTTAGGAATATATGTGTTTACACAAGTGCCTTGAGGGAATAGTTTACATAGCAGATGGCTCTGTCAGGTTACTATGCCTCTTAAATGATTACATGCTTTTAGTCTTACATATCTGCTTTTGTTGGAGATAAGCTTCTTATAGATAAAATAATACTTGTTCTGTTGAAAAAATTCTCTAATCAATTTTTCTGTCCTGACCTGTTCATGATACTTATATATTTGAAAACGTGTTTGTTTTTTTGTTTGAACATCAGTGTAGCATCTCAATTAGAAAATGTTTTAAATTTTGTAGTGTAATGTTATTTACTATGGAGACATGAAGTCAGTGAATGTTGATTGTCAGCTCTTGAATATTCCTGTATATTGTTTTTAAAATGTCAAGAAATTTGATCAAAAGTGGTAACCAATGGGAATTTACGTTCATTTGGTACAAACTTAACACATAAATATAAACAAATGCATAACAAATTAAGTAAAGAAAAGAAGATTATTTTGTAAACATAGGTTTTTCTTTTTTATTTATAATCTGGCCTTAGTTATAGAAGATCTTCTCTTTGAGTAAAACCACCTTTAGATTTCTTTGACCTACGAAATTGGCCATCACATAATCCCTTAGAGAAACATTGGTACTGTATATGCACTACCATTATAGTAGAATAACTTTTAGACAATGTCTGAATCACAAATCAAATTGTAACTTTTTTTCTCCCTGTTGCCACCTTAAGCCATGTTCTCATCTTATTGTTATCTTTTCTAGGAGTCAACAACACATGGTTATATTTATATGTGACTGATAGGATATTATTGAATTTAACATTTTAGCAACAGTTAGTGGTCTTTAGATGTATGTTTGTAATTATACTAATGGAAAACATATGTTGGAGTATTGGTCTTGTGATTATGTCATCAAGTCATCGTAAAACCTTTGATGTTCTGACTTTCAATATAATTTGCCAGCACGAGTGAAGTAGCAAAAATGCACTAATGCTATTGGAAAGTAATTGATTTTTGCTGCAACCATTTCAGGTCAGACACACTACAAGTAACTGAGCCTCATTTTCATAATTTGGTAATATTTGACTTATTGAAGATGGAGCCATATGATGCATTAGTACTGTTGCATTCTATCGGCTCATGTTGTTAATATATGTATACTGGAGTTGTGTTGTGTATCTACTAAGTTTAAGATTCAGATAGACTTAGTTTGATCTGTTAATGATGGTTGAAATTATCCATGCAGAAAAAATAGCAATCCTGTTTTTTAGTGCCACCTGGACAGTCCGTCCAGTCTATCTGTCTGTCTGTCAGTCTGTCTGTGAGTGAGTGAGTGAGTGAGTGAGTGAGTGAGTGAGTGAGTGAGTGAGTGAGTGAGCTGAGATTTCTGAGAAGAAAATTCCTACTTAATAAAATCAACTGATATTGATCAAAAATGCATTTTGATGGTCTTCATTTATTACATTTGTTTATGATTGTTTTTCTAAAAATGGAATTATTTTTAGCTTGCGGGACCAAAGGGATGATCAGTTATTTGCATATGCTCACTCAGTGTGCAGTTGAATATCTGATAATAGTTTTAGTTGACCATGGTTGCTAAATAGAATAGTGCAGTAAGTCACACTTACACGCATTTTAGTTGGGTTTTTGTCAGATAAACAGACTACAATGAAGGACACCATACATATTATGTACATTATACCTCCTGTAGTTTATTAAAATATTTATGATATCCTTATCATATACCGATATATACCTATATTTGTATTTATTTGCCTGAGGTGTTTGTAATGATGATACACACCAGTCTATATACATACTTTACCTTTTTACCACCACTTCTCTTTTTTCATCACAAATTTAAAAAATAGTTCTGTTTATAGTCTGCACTTTTCTTGAAAAGAATGGGACAAAAATAGCCAAATTTTGTGGGTAAAAACAAAAAATTTACTTAAATTTTGTCTGTTGGCTCCAAAATCATTGTTCCTTTTTTTAGAAATATTTAAGATTATATAAAAAAAAGTGCAAAAAAATTTGGGCGAAAAAGTCGAATGGCGAAAGAGTTAAGTCACTGTTACTCTATTTAGATGTGCTGTACTCAAATATACACAAAAGGCGAAATATTTTTTTTCATATTTGGTATTTTTAATGCTGTTACAGAGATATGAAATATTGCTAATAGAAGTATATTGATTATTGATTATGGTGAATATTTAGTCAGTGAATATTTCATTGGGGTTCTTATACCAGTGAGTAAGGGTGACTTTCATAAAGGTGAAATAAATTTAAATTTAAACAAATTTGAATGTCAAAAATTTAATGTTTAACTGAATTTCATTTGTATATTTCAAAATATGATTATCGAATTTAAAAAAAAAATGAAAAAATGTTATAGGCGTCAATCGCTATTCCTTTAGGATTTTTGATATGTTTTTTTTTTAATATAACTAGTTACCAAACTTATGGGTATTAGCAG